CATTATTATTATTTTTTTACATTTATTTGTGTGTGCATACTATGGTGCATGAGTACAACAGGTGTAGCAGTTTCCCCTGCGGTCCTGAAACTGAGGAGTACACAGGTAGGATTCCTGGGAGCTCATTAGCCAGCCAGGTTCAGTGAGAGGCCCTGCCTCAAAAGATAAAATGGGCAGTGATATAGGAAATTCTCTTGTCCTACAGGCATGTGCACAAACACATGTGTCCCACCCCTCAGGTGCATACAGCAAAGCTGTAGTCAGCTCTAATTCATGGTAACAGCTGGTGGCATCTCAGTAATACTTAAACATAATGGTAAGATATTTCTATGGTTAATCCAATCCTGTGTCCCCTGATAATTTTTTTTTTCCTATGAGAATTGATAATGAGCCAGGTACTGCAGTTAGCTGTGGGTGTCAAAGATGATTTAGTCCAGTGTTCTTTTTTAAAAGTTTATTTATCTTTTCATGTACATTGGTGTTTTTCTTGCATATTTGTTACAAGCAGTAGTGAGGCCCCCATGTGGGCACTGGTAATTGAACCTGGGTCCTCCCGAAGAAGTGCTCCCAACCACTGAGCAATCTCTCCAGCCCCTTATTCCACTGTTCTTAATACACACTTCATTCTCTCCTTAGTTTCTGGTATCTGCTCCTCCTCTCCCAGTGTTTTCATTAAATGCCTCTAATTTGATTTCATAGCATATCAAGAAAAACATTTAAAAAATCTTACTGATTTGGTGCTTATATACTGAGGAGCCCAGAAGGTTCTTAATCCAAGCTCTCTGAAGTGCTATCTGCTGTCAGTAGTCCAGAGAACACTGTAGCTCTTCTCAGCCTGGGAAAGTATGATATCTGGCATTTTACCTTCTTAGCCCCAGAACTCTCTGTCAGGAGGTCTGACTCTGTCTCTTGTGTCTTTTATTTCTCGTGCTCAGGACTTGACATAATGCAGGCAGGCACTGAGTATGGAGTGAATATGTTCTTACCAGGAATGGCCTTTGAGCATGGCCCTCAGCGGTTCCCTTTATTGCCTACCTCCCTAATGATACTGTAAGCTGCAGGGTTATAAGGACCTTGTCTGAGTCTTCAGCCCTGTAACGTTAGATCTCAACATAGTGTCTACCCAGTAAACATTTGTTTTGTTAGAGAAGTCTGAATAGGTTGGGCCTGAGAGTGGGTGGGTAACTGGCCTGTTTCTTTCCCATCATAGCAGCAACAGAATGGGAGAAAAGGAGCTGGCATGAGCCTTCACTGAACCATTATCTCAGCCTACAGAGGGTAATTGACAGCAGCTGGAGTCCAGAACCGATGGAGTGGAGTGTTTTACTGTTCTTTCTTATATGATTGTTTTGAGGTCGTTTCTACTTCACACACATATACCCCTTTCCTTAATGACAACATAGCCCTAAGCCAGGTATTAGTGTTGTGGTAGAGTGAGTAGAATGCTGTGTTAGTGGAAGACACACTTGATCTGACTTTAGAGGGCTTTGAACTCACACGATTCTCCTGTTTCTGCCTTCTGGGTACTGGAACTGATGGTGGTGGACACCATGCCACTAGGCTGGCCTTGAAGTCACAATGATCTGCCTGCCTCTGTGCCACCCCCCCCCCAAGAGCTGGGATTAACGGCATGTGCCACCACGCCCAGCAAAGCACACCTTTTTAAGATTTAATTTTATTTTAGACAGGGTCTCACTATGTAGCTCTAGTTTGCCTGAAACTTATGTAGACCAGGCTGGCTTTGAACTTCGGATCTCTGCCTCCCTGGTGATGGGATCTAAAGCATGCAATGTCATTCCTGGCTAAAACTCACTCTTTTAAAGTGTATAGTGGTGTGACTTTTAGTGTATTTGCAAGTTGTACAACCATCATTTCTATATCCAGAGCATCATCCAGCAAGAGGCCCCAATTCCTGTTTCACATAAAACTCTGAGGCCTAGTGCTGTGTGTGTTGTCCACCTACCTGAATCTGAGCTGGGAGGAAACCCTGAAAACTACAGTAACTAGATAATGACTTGCTTTTTCCTTTGGTGGAAAGTAAGTGAGGGCACATGAAAATATATTAGTCTATCCTCAGTTATTTATTTTTAAGAATTTAATTCCATTATAATAATAATATTATCATTATTTTGTGTGTGTGTGTATGTGCACGCGCGCGTGCGCGCACGCCATTCGGACAGAAGTAGTGGTCAGGCGATAACTTGTAGAAATCAGGTCTCTCCCCAGAACCTGGATTGAATTCAGGTGGTCAGGCTTGCAAGCAGGCACTTTTACCAGCCAAACCAGCTTTCCAACTTAATTGTTATTTTTATTATTTTTCAATTGTTTATTATTTTTTTAAGCAAGTAGGTTTTCCACTTAAACTCAGCAATTAGTCATCAGGTTTGATTTCTTTTTGAAAGGCTACCCTTGGAAAGTACCTTTAGTGAAGATCCACAGATAAGGTTACTAAAAAAGAATGTTAATTCTCATAGGAAAAGACTGTGCCACCTTGGTGGGATAATAATGTTTTATTAGTGTGATGCTGAAAAGTCACTGAAGAAAAGGCTTCCCTATAAATCATAGCCTTTAACTTTCAGACCTAGCCTCAGCCAAAATGGTGGCAGTTTGTCAGCTGTCCTTCTTCCCTCCCTCCCTCCCTCCCTCCCTCCCTCCCTCTCTCCCTCCCTTCCTCTCTCCCTCCCTCCCTCCCTCCCTCCCTTCCTCTCTCCCTCCCTCCTTCCATTGAGACAAGGTGTCATTATATAGCTGTCCTGGAACTCACCTGCTTTCCAAGCTCTGGGATTAAAGACATACACCACTACTTGAAGCTTGGTAGAAAGTTCTTTCAAACCTTAAAAATTTTGATATTGTCAAATTGTTTTTTTAAAAGCCACAGGAAAACTGAAAAAAATTGTAAAGAACCTATGTACATATAATGGGCTGAAAATCAGTTTTACAAACTGAGAGAAAAATGCCCTAATTTTAGTCAGAAATTAGATATTTTGACCCAGATTTTTGTATATGTACATATAAGATGTCATTGAAAGTAGTTCATTTGTTGGCAAAATAGTAAAGTCTTGTAATCTGGTGTTTGTTCTCAGAGGGTAGGATAATCGAAAGACAAATGGAGCAGCCACTTCCACTTGAAAGTTTGTAGTTCCCCATAAAAAATTTCAAGCAGGATCCATTTTGTTTGAAAGATTGGCTTTCTATTGAGGTTACTGTGCCAAATTCCAGTATTGCCTTTCATCTCTGGGAAATGGATGAGATGCTTATCAATTCTAGCTGCTTTTTGTGAGGGTAAACATTGTTTTTCATTTCCTTTTTGGTGCTGCGGAGGTGTGGTTAGGTTCTTAGAACCCTGCGGGTTTTTGTTATTTTTTTTCCAAAAGCTCTACCATCATTTATTACTTAATGGTAACATTAAATTTTGAGTAGAAACAACCCATGAGAGCCTTGTACTGGGGAGGCTGAGGCAGGTGGACCTCTTTTTTGAGGCCAGCCTGGTCTACAGAGTAAGTTCTAGAACAGCCAGTCTCAAGATGAAAGGCTATCTTAGGTGTACTGTCCATGTCTGGATTTATTTAGAACACAAAGATGTGAAGATTTTAAATTGTCTGGACAGAGTGGTTTTAATGCAGTGGGTGGAAAAACTCCCTAAATTCCCCAGCCTGCCTTTCGTGGCCTTAGTATTTCCTTTCTTCACATTATTTTTCTTCCTTAAATGTCTTTTTTAATAACAGTGGCAACGGTTTGATTTTTGGTCGCCTTTTGTTTCTCACTGCTTACTGCTATTTTATGAGTCTTACTAAAGACATTGTAAGGCCTGGAGAGAGGCTCAGTGATTAAGAGCACCTGCTGCTCTTGCAGGAGGTCTGGGTTTGGTTCCCAGCACCCATATTGCGTCTGTAACTCCAGTTCTTAGGGATCTTCTACCCTCTTCTGACCTCCTTGGTTATTGGGCATGCATATTGTACACATACATACATGCAGGCAAATACTCAAGCACATAAAATTAGAAATAAAAGTATATTGTCAGGTCTTTTTCTTTTCTTTTTTTCTTATATCCAGGATTATGCCAAATAATAGGGAAGAGGCGCTGAGGGAAAACCACAAACAGGCACTGTCCTAAGTGTTTTTTATGGATTAACTGTTAATTCTCCCATCAACTCTGTACAAGGAAGGTAGACACAGGCTCTAGAAAAGGAAGCTAAAGAAGGTTAAGGGGTGTGGAAAACACTGACTAAAATCATAAGTTCACACATCTTAGAGTTAGGCTTTGAGCCCAGCAGTGTGTGTCAGTCAACACAGAAGGGCTTTCTTTTGTGAGGCGTCAGCTCCGGCATTAGTCCGTGTGTCTACTATTTGCAGGTTGCTGCCTGGCTCTTCTATGTATAAAACTCATTATAGAGTGACATGTGTAGTTCCAAAATATATTGAGAAAAAGGATTATCAAAAAACCGACTTTTTGTTGGGTGTAGGTGACACATGCTTTTAATCCCAACACTAGGGAGGCAGAGGCAGGTGCATTTCAGTGAGATTTAGGCCAGCCATAGCTAGTATTACCCTTTCTAAACAAGACAACAAAAACTGGTTCATGGACTAGCTAGGTGGCTCATCAGATGAAAGCACTTATTACCAAATATAAGTTTCATCTGTGGGACCCAAACAGTGGAAGGAGGGAGCCAACTGCTGAAAGTTGTCCTATGATACCTGCTCACATATGCATACAAAATACAAATGTAAAAATCAAACTGTTTTCTCAGTTTTTACTTTAAAAAATTAAAAACCTTTAGAAAGGAGGGCTGCATATGGTGGCATCAGCCTTTAATCCCAGCACTCTGGAGTCAAAAGAAAGTGGATTTCTGAATTTAAGACTAGCCTGATCTACATAGTGAGTTACAGGACAGCCAGGACTACATAATAAGACCTTGCCTTAAATTAAGAAAGAAAGAGAGGGAGGAAGGAAGGAAGGAAGGAAGGAAGGAAGGAAGGAAGGAAGGAAAGAAAGAAAGAAGATGCAGTCATTTAAGCTGACCAGGTCCCTTTCTTGATGGAGGCCTGGTACGCAGTGGTGCAGACAGCATCATCCTTGGTAGTGCATACTGCCTGATTCCTGTATGGTCTGCCCTAGGCATCTTGGAGACAATTTCCTGGCAGCTACTCATGTGTGTCTGATCTCAGTGCTGTCATTAAACTAAGCTCCAGACAGGTATGTGTGGTGCCTTTGGAGAGGAAGCCCCAGGGCACAGTGACCAAGTCCTCATATCCATCTACATACACCCAGCTGCAGAATAAGGAGCATGTGATTGAGGCCCTGGGTAGAGCCAAGTGTAAGTTAGTTCCCTGGCTGTAGAATCAAATGTAAACCCACTCATGGTGTTTGACAAGTAACAGACCTGTCTGTACTCCTCAGCCTTCTACTGTGTTGTCTGTCCTGTACCACCACCAAATCATGTTTAGTAATAAAGCTCACATCCAGTCTGCCCAAAAACAAAACCAAACAAAAATAAAAAAACCAACCAAACAAACAAAAAACACCCCCCCCAAAAGAAGAAAAGACATAGGTTTCCTAAGAATAAGGAATCCCCTTGTAAGTTAGGTTAGAGTTATTATGCTCCTGAAAATTATTATCTGCAGCTGTGGGTGTAGATAGAGTAGTAGTGTAGCATGTGTAAGGACCTGTGTTTGACCCCAGAACCACAAACAAAATTATAAACAAAAAAGATTGTGTTTCAAAATGACAAGGAAGCTGCATCCATGATAACACAACAATATATGACTGACTAAACAGTGACAATACTGATAGACATGTTAACAAAGAAGAGTCCTATTCTTAGAAACTATCGGCAAATAATGACTGCTGAGAGAAAGAGAGACAATTATTCTCTCAAAGAGATGAGCCCTTATTTGGTTATCTAATACAAAAAACCCTCAGCATTGTTAGTATTCAGGCATCTGTACTGGCCTGTTCTTGGGGTTCTGACAGGACACGCCCTCAGCTGCAACCACCAAGAGCACCTGCGCATATTCACTATGTTCCCTTTTAAAAGGGCCCTGCCCACCTCCCATCATCCTCATTCTTTCTCTCCCTTTCTCTGTTCCTCTCTCTGCTGTCTCTTTCTCCCCACTCCCCCTCTCTTCTCTTCTGCTGCTCCTGTCCCCAGAGGAAGGTCTCCTCTCTCCCCTCCCTCCTTTTTCCATTCCCTTTCCCCTAGTTAAAAAAACCCTCTATGTGAACTCTGTGGAAAGGCATCTTTCTCTCAGCACACCGATTTTTAAATTACTACAGACATTATGTACATGCAATCTATTATCTATTGTCTTTCTGTCTACATATCTATTTATGTGTGGATGTTACACATATATGTATGCATACGTGTGTGTGTGTGTGTGTGTGTGTGTGTGTGTATGTATGTATGTATGTATTTACAGGATTAGAGAGAGATGAAAACTTGGTGGAGTCAGTTTCCTCCATCACTTTTTTTAAAGTTTTTATTATTATTTTTTCTTATTTTACATATCGATCCCAGTTCCCTCTCCCTCACATCTTCCCATGCCCCTAACACCCCCCCCATCCCATTCCTCAACCACTCCACAGGGAGGGTGATGCCTTCCAGGAGGGATCATCAAAATCTGTCAAGTCATTTGTAGTAGGGTCTAGGCCCTCCTTCCTGCCTCTAGGTTACGGGAGTATCCCAAAGTCCTTGTGCACCAGGGATACATCCTGGTTCCACTGTCAGAGGTCCCGTAGTCTGCCCAAGCCTTCTAGCCGAGACCCATGTTCAGGGGGTCTGAGTCAGTCCAATGCTGGTTTCCCAGTTATCAGTCTAGGGGTCCATGAGCTCCTCCTTGTTCAGGTTAGCTGTCTCTGTGGTTTCTGTAGCCTGGTCTTGACCCCTTTGCTCATCACTCCTCCCAGTTTGCAGCTGGATTCCAGGAGTTTGGGTCAGTGTTAGCTGTGGGTGTCTGCTTCTGTTTCCAGCAGCTACTAGATGAGGGCTCTATGATGGTAGATAAGTTAGTTATCAATCTCATTATAAGGGAAGGACATTTAAGGTAGCCTCTCCACTGTTGCTTAGATTGTTAGGGGGTCATCCTTGTAGGTCTCTGGACATTTCTCTAAAGTTAGTTTTCTCTTCAAACCTATAATGACTCCTTCATCTATTCATCCCCCGACTCACTCAGTCTTCCTGGTTCCACAGGTTCTCCTCTCCTCCCCTTCTCTTTCTCCTAACTCCCTCTCCACTCACTGTACTCCCCCCCCCCCCAATATGCTCAGGAGATCTTGTCCCTTTCCCCTTCTGTGAGGAACCTTGTATGAATCTCTTAGGTTCCTCCTTGTATCCTAGTTTTTCTGGCAATGTGAATCGTAGGCTGGTGATCCTTTGCTCTATCTCTAAAATCCATATATGAGTGAGTACATACCATGTTTCTCTTTTTGTGACTCGGTTACCTCACTCAGGATGGTTTCAAGTTCCATCTATTTGCCTGTGAATTTCAAGATACCATTATTTTTTTCTGCAGAGTAGTATTCCATTGTGTAGATGTGCCACATCTTCTTTATCCATTCTTCAATTGAGGGGCATCTTGGTTGCTTCCAGGTTCTTGCTATTCCAAATAATGCTGCTATGAACATAGTTGAGCAGATGTCTTTGTTGCATGGATGTGGATCATTTGGGTATATGCCTAAGAGGGGGATTGCTGGGTCCTGTAGTAAACTAATTCCCATTTTCCCGAGGAACCGCCATACTGATCTCCAAAATGGCTGTACAAGTTTGCACTCCCACCAGCAGTGGAGGAGTGATCCCCTTTCTCCACATCCTCTCCAGCATAAACTGTCATTGGTGTTTTTGATTTTAGCCATTCTGACAGGAGTAAGATGGTATCTCAGAGTCGAGTTGTTTTGATTTGCATTTCCCTGATGGCTAAGGATGTTGAACACTTTCTTAAGTGTCTTTCAGCCATTTTGAATTCCTCTACGGAGAATTCTCTATTCAGTTTTGTACCCCACTTTTTAATAGGGTTATTTGGTGTTTGGTGACTAGTTTCTTGAGTTCTTTGTATATTTTGGAGATCAGTCCTCTGTCAGATGTGGGGTTGGTGAAGATCTTTTCCCAGTCTGTGGGCTGCCGTTTGGTCTTGTCAACTGTGTCCTTTGCTGTACAGAAGCTTCTCAGTTTTATGAGGTTCACTTGTTAATTGTCAATCTCAGTGTCTGTGCTACTGGAGTTATGTTCAGGAAGCGGTCTCCTATACCAATTTGTTCAAGGATACCTCCCACTTTCTCTTCTAAGAGGTTCAGTGTGGCTGGATTTATGTTGAGGCCTTTGATCCATTTGGATACAATGGAAGGAGGAAAGCATCTTCAACAAATGGTGCTGGCATAACTGGATGATGGTGTGTAGAAGGTTGCAGATAGAACCATGTCCTCCATCACCTTTATCTGGTTCTGGGGACTTAAACTCAGGCTGTCAGGCTTGCACAGCTAGCATCTTTAACTGAGGAGCCATCTTGCAGCACCTTGGAGCACCTTGGAAAGAATACTTCAGAGATGATGCTGTGCTGGCCTTTCACAGTCTGAGCTGTGTAATCATGGATATCTCACCGTGGTTAATACTAGCTAGGAACTTGTTTAAGTGGTAGGTATTAACATGCCACTGTGTGCTTTGATTGAGATGGAAGTCTTGGGCCTTTAAATACTTGGTCCTTAGTTGGTGGAACTGTTTGTGGCTTACTGCAGGAGGTTTGTCACTGGGATTGGGTGTGAGGTTTCAAAAGACTGAGCTACTCTCTGCCTCCTGCTGTGGATCCATAGGTTAGTTCTCAATTGCTCCTGACTCCATGGCTTTGCTTCACCATTGTGGATTCTAACCATATGAAACCACAAGCCCCCCCCCTTTTTTTTTTAAATAAGCTGTCCTGGTTGTCATGTTTTGTCAAATAATAGAAAAGAAACTATGGTAATCTCCATTATATATCTTCTGTTTTTGTCCTGGTTGTCATGTTCTGTCAAATAATAGAAAAGTAACTATGATAATCTCCATTATATATTTTCTGCTTTTAATTAATAAGTAATCTAGAGTGACATATTTAAACTGTTGTTTCAGTTAAGTCATTTTTGTTGAAAACCTTTAATGAGCCCTCGTGTCCTAGAGTATGACTATGAAGTTGTTGCTGTCATGGTCGCACAGGTCTGGAGTCCTAGCACTTGGGAGGCTGAGGGCTGCAATCACCTACCAGTTAGAGAAAGGCCTTTACCACAGTGTGAGGTTCATTTCTCTCAGACATGTGGTCTTCCCCTAACTCAAAACTAGTTCCTGCAATAAAGCCCTTTGTCAGCTATGCTTTGAAAATAGGTTCTTCTTGCCTATCATTTACCTTTTTGTTTCTTAATGATTTTGAAGTTCATTTTATCTGTCTTTTTCTTTCCTGGGCCACGATGCTTGTGTCTTTTGCCTAACATTTTCTCTTGTATTTTTTTTTTCTGGAAATTTTACAATTTTAACTTTGGTGTTTTGGTTTGTATAATTTAAATTACTTCTGTTTATTATGAACACCAGAGATTGGGGTTCCCAACTCATCCAGGGATTCAAGTCAGCCTTACTTGCTGAAGTTACTGTCCTTTGTCATTGAATTACCTGGTACTTTGTGTAAGAGCAGTTGACAACATAACCACAGGTGTCAGGTGTTCTATTATGGCAAGCATATCACATTTTTATCATGCAGTTAGCTTCTGGGTGAGTGGGTTATGCTGAAGGCTGAAGGCTGGTATACTCAGGAAATTGGCAGGCAATGGAGGTGTACCAGTATTTTAAGGTGAGGGTTCTTCCAATCACTGTTTTTTTTTTTTTTTTTTTTTTTTTTGAAGCTCCTTTTTTAGATTTATTATTTTATTTTCTGTACATGAATATTTCGCCTGAATGCATGTCTGTTGACACTTGTGTCCTGGTGCCCTCGAAGGATAGACAAAGGTATTAGACCCCCTGAAACTGGAGTTATGGGTGGACGCAAACAACTCTATGGTGCTGGGAACGAAACCTGGGTCCTCTGCAAGAGTAACAAGAACTCTCAACCCTTTAGCCATTTCTCCAGCCCTTTTTATTCATTCGTTTATTGAGCATTCAGAACAACATTGAATGTCTCTTCTA